AGGAGTTTGGCCAAACTGACTTCTCCTTTCCCCATAAAACAGAGGAGACCCTCCGAAGAATAAAGAATCACATAGAGGTCATTGAGAAAGCTTGTGCACAGTTTTCTCAAGACAAAATTTATGCTACCATACAAACAGAGGAGGATGAAGAAGAAGCGAATCATGGGGATGTTGAGGAGCATAAAAAGTTGTCACGGAGAACTTCCGTGATAATCATGATCAGGAATGTCCTCTGGTGGCAAACTGATCTCATTGAAGAAATTGCTTGGCGACTTGATCTCCAATCTGTACTGGAATAAGAAGAGCGAGAAAGGGTGAGGGAAGAAGTTGTGGAGGATGAAGGAAGTGAAGTAGAAGGAGTTTTTGAACTTTTCCAAGGGGAGATAACATATTTTGAAGAAGGAAGGGGGTTGAAAAAGCAATTGGCACCCAGGCTGAGGAGAAAGTTGATGTGGAAGAGGCTTGCACCGGCCATGAGTTACATGTGATATCTCCCCCAAACTGCAAGGAGCTTATTGGAAAGGACCCGTTTGCAGTGTCTCTTTGCCACAACAAGGCCACATAGGCATCGGTCCCTCTTGGTGGACGCGATGGTGGTCAATCGATGCTGTTATATTTGGTTTGGGGTAATGAGACAAGAGAAGAAGTAAAGGAGAGGTCTCGAGTGTGGAGACGTCATCTTCCCCAAGGGCACGAGCCATCTTTATCACCTATCACACCACCTGCCCGTGACTTGAGACTCCACTTCATCGACAAGAACCTCAACTTCAAGGAATTTTTGGGGTGGACCGAAACTTAGGACATGAAAGAAGCTCTTGTTGGGAGGCAACCCAACCAGTCGGTTTGCATTTCTTTCCCTATTTCTCTTAGGTTGAGTCGGTGTTGTGCTATGATTTTTGAGTCAATAACTCAACCTTAATGAGCTTTTGTGTGGTGTTTGTGGTTCTATCTACTCTCTCTTCCATGGAAGGCACCTCCTGTTCCAACCACCATCATTCATCACCCAATATTGTAACATCGTTTCCCTTATCATTCCCTCAGCTCCATTGAGGGCAATGTTGAACTTAAGTGTGTGTGTGTGTGTGTGTGTGTGTGTGTGTGTGTGTGTGTGTGTGTGTGTGGGGAGGGGGGGGGCTTTGTACTTATCGAAACCTATGTTTGTGTGCTTGGAGCCTATTTATTGTCCAAATCTTGAGATTTGAGGGCTCAAAGTACTAATGTTTTCATGATCATATTGGCATTGTGGTTTTATGTGGTGAATCGATTGGCTGTTAGCATTGATGTATAATAACTTGTGTGTGACTAAGACAACCTATAATGTCACTGAGACGTGCAGTAGAGTAGTGTAAGGGTTTAGTTTTTAATTTTTTTTTCTTACCAAGTGTGACTTGGATCGATCACTCATATTCTACAGTTATTTATGCATCTAGTTCAGGGAATTAGGATGAGAGATAGAGCATACAGGTAGCCAAGTTAGATTTGAGCCTGCTGTTTCTTTCTTGTGCGTTAGATCTCTCTTCCATGATATGTAGCATATTCACGATGCCACTAATTAGGATGATGGAGGCATAGGATTAACCCACGACTAAATTGACTGTCCTGGTGTGTCATACCCCCTAGTCAGTCCCTCTAAGCCGTGTAACTTTCTCTAATTGTGTCTATAATGAAAAATCACCCTCATGCATCTCTTAGAGGTTCCAAATAGTGATTTTTGTATGTTTGCTGCTGGAAATAATGTGAGGGTTGGAGGTAGTTCTTAAAAGTTGGGCATGTACTTGAAAAGATAAAAAAAAAATGTAGCAAAAGCGGTGGTTCTCTAAAGAAAAAGAAAAAAAAAGAGAAAAAAAACAAATGAAAGCAAAAGACAGCCACCACAAAAATCTTAATCATGCTCATTAGATAGTGTTTCTGAGTAGACTGGCTTAGAAATACTAACATGTAGTAACCTCTTTCACTCTTGTGCTCTAAAGAACTTGATTAATGTAGAATAGCATAGTGAAAGTAAATGGTTGGAATGAATGTTGTTGTGTTGTTTTGGAACTGTGAAACCTTGTGTAATGAATTCTTCCACCACCTTAAAGGCCTTTTTCCTATGTCCAACACCCTAGCCAGTAGCCAGTTATCTGAACCCGTGTCTAAGACCTCCGGACAAGTTAGTAGTGTCACTTGATATGTGAACTCTAGCATTTAGAGGCTGCTGCCATGATGAATAGATGTTATGAATTGAGAGTATGAGTATGCACACATCTTGCATCAAATTTTGTCTCGACTGTCATCACTGATGGTTGTCCAGGTTGCTGTTGTTGTTGTTGTTGTTCATGTGTTGATGTCTAAAAGCCAGTGCGATTCACGTATTTTGTGCTTATATGATATGTCCACAAAGTTTGCATGGTAAAAAAATTTTCAGCTTACCTTGTGTCTGACTTTGTTTGCTTGGGGACAAGCAAACGGTTAAGTGTGGGGGAATTTGATAGCATCATATTCACACAGGTTTGCACCCTCGTTTCTTGATCGTTTTGGCTCAAGTTTGTGCCTTCTAGACCTATTTTATGCTAGGTTGTGTTCCTTTATCACATTTCATGTTGTTGCATGTAAAGTGAAGCATAGGTGTAAGTTTTCAAGTTAATAAGGGATCAATTGACGATTTAGGAAAAGAAACTCGGTCATGACCTGCATAATAATGGATTCCTACCTCATTTTATGGACAAAGAATCATGTAATCTTTTCATTAAAAGAAAGAGGACGAGATTATGAGTCTCAAGGATTAACCGGTGACTGATTCATAGTCCGAACGAAGGAGAAACGAAGTATCAAAGACAGTGGAACAAGAGCGGAGGAAGAAACACGGGGAGGAGAAACGCAGTCGTGTTTTTTCCTCCTGTGCCCATGTTTTTAGTGTCGTGAAGAAACAAGGGAAGGGCCGAAACACGGCCGTGTGCTCCCTACTCGGATATAAGTTTGATTTCTTCAATTTTAGAGAGAGAGAGAGAGAGAGCTGAGTTTTGGATCCAAACACCCAAGGGACGAACCATAGAGAGAGCGACTTAGAAACATTTTTGGAGCTATTTTGGAGGATTTCTTCACCATTGGAGCTCGGGAATCAAACTTAGAGATGGAAATTGAAGATATAGATAAGATTTGTGCAGTCTCTCTCTTCTCTATGGAGTAAGTTCCCTTCACTTATGTTTGGATGAACCTTAGTTCCATGTGTTAGGATCTTTCTTGTATGACTTTTGGATGCTATACTTATTGGTTTTAATCGATCGAGGCATGATTTGTTGAGTCAATTCAATCCTGATCATATTCGTAACCTATGATAGATAAAATCTGATTAGGTTTAGAGAGCTTTCTTGATTGATAGTAGTGAATTGATTGTGCGAGAGTCTGACAATTCATCTCTTTATACTCGAATTCGTTCCAAATAGTGGAGATCTGCGTGATTCGCCTTAGTAGTTTATCCCGTTGAAGGCTAGTCGCCTGCCAGGTATTTTGTCTAATAGGGCTTGGTTAGTTTAAGAGATTGCACGCTTTTTTTGGATCTTCTGCACTTTAATCAATAGTAAATCAACCAAAGAAAATTAAAACTTCGACCTAATTAAGGAGCTAGGGAGAATCATTCCTAAGTGAGTTCCCAACCAGTAATTAGATTAATTTAATCGTACTTTTCTAGAGTATTTGTACTTCTTCTATCTTAATCTGGTTTGCTAGAAAATGAACTAAAGCTGAGTAATAGTAACCATTGAGACCCGTGGATTTGATATTTATTATTTATTCCTCTATACCGCAGTCCCTTTCATTGGTTGCACTTGTCGATTGTTAGGAGTTGTGTTTTAGCGAGTCATGCTCATGTCTCCGAGCGCATTAAAAACAGTAAGTAGTGGCACGCTCATGCGTCGAAGTAGAGTATCGAGCTATGGCAAGTACTATTGAGAGAGCTAGGGTGTTCCTTTGAATACGATGGTTTTTGAGTGAGTTGGGTGTTCCTCAGTCTCGACCAATCCCCTACACTACGACAATCAAACTTCCCTTCATATAGCTACCAACCCTATCTTACATGAGCGAACTATACACGTTGAGATGGATTGTTATTTTATTCGAGATTGTGTTGTCTCTCATGATATTATTCCTCTCAAGGTTAGTTTGCATCTCCATCTTCCTGATTTGTTCACCAAAAAGGGCTATGTGCAAATAATTTTCATTTTCTTCTGTCAAAACTATACATTCGAGATCTTCAGTTCGGCTTGAGGGGGCGTATTGGACCGAGTCGATGCCATGGGCTACGAAGGGTCTAGTCCGCAGGCCCACATGGTCACATATAGAAAGCAACATCAACACTCTACTCTCCTTACTAGAATATGAGTCTTGATCATCACGTACTTTTTGTAACCCTTCTTAAGAGTTGTAAACGGTTATGTAATGGTGTACATGTATGGTCAAAATGCATGTTCTTCATTTGACAATAAGAGTAAAAGCTAGAGAGATGAACTCATATCTCCTGTGTACTAGTCCCGATTAGTCATTCAGGGATCCCACATTAAATCATGTCTTGTCTACTTTTCACAGTCAATTTTCCAGTCCTTACCACAATCAAATCGCATTTCATTCATCATCCATTGTTGTTGGATCTTGTCACCGATGCGATTAGCCAAAACTCAGCCTTCTCCTTCCCGATTCAAAGGCACTAGTAAAAAAACACCGGGATTAAGAAAAGCTTAGTCTGCACGACCATACCTTTCGTATCCATGTAATATGATATCCAACATGTTAGTCTATCCAAGACACTCATAGTGATGAAGATATTGAGGAAAGGAATTAACCATAACCATAGATATGGCTATAACAAGGGTAATTTAGGCATTTCATAATTAGGAGAAATTGGGGTGTTATAAAATTTCTCCCCAATCATATCATTAAAAAAACTTGGCCCTCTTGTTTTGTGTAGTTATTTTTTAACTTTATTCTAATTCCTGTATAAACAAATTAAAACGATAGGTCAGTTTTGTTTTTTCACAACTTGATCTATTGATCAAGGAAACTTAATGAGAAACAAAAAAAAACTAGGCCAACAAAAAAAAGTCGTTTCTCCCGCTCTTCCATTCTTTTCTTTTTTTTCCCCACCAAACACAGAAAAACCATTGCACCAAGCACACCATTCAATATTAAGTATCCCCTTCTGTCCCCCTTTTCTCTCGCTCTGTGATTGCTTCTATTTTTCTTGATTTCATTTCTCCATATTTTGTTGGGAAAGATTATTTTTTTTCTCACTTCCTTTGAGGAAACCTTTTTCCTCCGATCCCTCTATTTTCGTGTCAAAATAGTGGGATCGTGAGATTTTCTTCTTTTTGAGAAGTTTTGAAACTAGTTTCGTAATATTTCTTTAGCCAGAAAATTATATTCATCATCGTGTTTCATACCATATTTGGTTAAGAAGGTATGAGTGATCACATGGCTCTATTTGTGGACCGCCTTGCAATCCACTCGACAACAGGTTCCTTGTCCTCTTTAGAGGAGGGTGCTGAAAAATTCTCGAAAACGGATATCAGTACTGCTTCTACGGGCCCATCATGTTCAAGGTCAAATGAGGTGAGGGATGAGGAAGACGAAGAAGGAGAACAAGAGGATGAACCATTAATTCAAGATGGGGAATGTCGTATTTGCCAGGAAGAGGATTCCATTCACAATTTGGAAGCTCCGTGTGGTTGTAGCGGCAGCCTCAAGGTATATGCAATTTTCTTATTTTTCAACACATTTCTAACGATTTTAATTGTCTAGGAACTTTTAGTCTAATGCTCTATAATATATTGAAATATGTTTGGTTAATTGTTCATTAACCTTTGTTAAATTTAGATTACTGTCTTACTTTCATTAACAACTTTAATTTTAGAGGGTTATTCTCAACATAATGTGGTATTGATTTTGATTCGCCGTTCATTTCTTTTTGGGTAGTATGCTCATAGAAAATGTATCCAATATTGGTGCAATGAGAAAGGAGACACCACTTGTGAGATATGTCATCAGGTAACTTAAGATTGATTGGTTGGTTGATTGACTAATGAAACTCTTTATCCATTACGGTTTTCAGTGTTCTATTTAATTACATCAGCCAGTGCAATCTAAATAATTTTGATGTTACTGTGACTAGGATTATCAACCGGGTTATACAGTTCCACCTCGCCCTCCTCGCCTTGAAGATACTATCATCGACATTGGGTATATTATTAAACTTATATTCTTTTTATTAACAAAAACAATAGCAACAAAAAAAACATGTGGATTTGCTTATACAGATTTTGCAATCTTATCTTTTTTATCAGAGGAGGTTGGACAATATCAGGCACGCCTATAGATTTACATGATCCCCGTCTTCTTGCCATTGCGGAAGCAGAACGTCATTTTTTGGAAGCTGAATATGATGAGTATGCTGCTTCCAATGCTAGTGGAGCTGCTTTCTGTCGTTCAGCGGCACTCATCGTAAGACCTATAAATATTTTCATGCAAAGTTCTCATTTCTCAAAGGCATCAAGTACCTATTGATTCTTAACTACTCTAAGAACACATAGTTCTTGAGAATTCATTACTTTTATTTGTCTGAATTTGTAGAGAGACCTTGTATTGTAGCTTCGTGTATAAAAAATACACGATTTTACCCCATAAATTTTAAAAATATACGCACCAAATAGTATATTTTCACATTATATCACATGAATTGACATCATTAAAAAAATGTACAATTCCTTAAACTTTATATTTGCAGCTTATCTTAATATACGCCCCCCTGTTTAATGTTTCAGTTGATGGCCCTTCTACTATTACGACATGCATTGACAGTGACAGAAGCTGATGAAGATGATGATGTTTCCACCTTTTTCTCTGTAAGTAAAATGTTGTAACCGCTAATCATCAACTTCTTTACCATAAAATATTCTCAATTATAGATTTTAAATCTTAGAAGTCCCGATAACATGTTTTTCTTGTGGCCATGGATTACAGGTTTTCCTACTACGTGCAGCTGGTTTTCTCTTGCCCTGTTACATCATGGCTTGGGCTATCAGCATTTTACAACGAAGGAGGCAAAGACAAGTAATTAAAAATAAAATAATTTCTCTTCTAACTATTTTTATTTCCTTTGTTATGTGTACTAACTGCTTGCACAATATACAACCTTAAAATAGGAAGCTGCAGCATTAGCAGCAACACAAGTTGCATTTGTGCTACAATCCGGGCAACGTCATGGTTTGCAATTCACTATAGCATCTGGTCCACCAGTAACCACACACCAAGAACCCGTTTAATTTGAACCAAACTAGATGGAATCATCAAAAGAGGACTAGGCAAACAATCAAGGAAAATGAAGAATTTTAGTGGCTATGAAGCTTTTTATTAAGGAGAGAAAGTGGATGGGATAAATGAAGATGAAATGTTAAATTCCTCGAGTACCTAGTTTTACTTTCTTAAAATTAAGAGAGAGAACAGAAAGGGAAAAGTGAAATGAAAAATGAGAAGTGTGTTGTGCAATGTGTGAGACTATATGATGTTTTGGATTATCAAACATTGTTATGTGCTTTACATCCTATTGTATGTGTAAATATGACATCACAAGACCGAAAAGCTTCTAAAATATCAGAAGAGTCATCAATTTTAAAATCATTTGTACATTAATTATTCACTAAACAATTTAGTTGATAAGTCTAATTTGTTCTTGATAGGCACATGATCTATAGTATTATGATCATGCAGGAAGTGATAAACTCTTTGGGTCTTCATAACGGAATTCGAATATTTCAATTAAATTGAAGTCTAAAGTGCCTATAGATTTTGTTGCACCTCTTTTGGAAACACACTGCAGGTTTTTGTATCTCGCTTAATTTGGCTGGACTGTCATGGGATGTGCCACTACCATTAGATCAAGACTTGTATGGAACAAAGGGTATTTAATCCAATTAGAGGCCTTGAATATCAATGTCTCAACCATATGGTTTTGAAAGCTATTGAAAAGGGCTCTTGAAATATTTTTAGTTCTCCAACTCAGTACCTTAGCTCTGAATGTGACAATATTTGCAAAGGATTTAAAGCCATAAACTCACCACACAATGAACGTTTGAGAATTATTTTTTAATCTATGCGCCTTACTAGACTCACAAAACATAAACCATTTTGTTCTTGAGATAGAGAACATTCCCACTCACATCGAAACAAAAAAAAATCTCATAAATCGACTAGGAAAGGGTCTCCTAAACCTTGTGGGCTAAGTAAATTTCCTGAACAAGGTTAGTGTTTGGTGTGGGTTCTGCATGGGTTCGGCTACTTCGACCTTGGACGACCTTCCTTTACAGTTTTGGTCCTTATTGAACAAGCCTCCTTCACGGACGATTTGAATGCAGGTTAGCACCACTAGTTTCTTCATCTGGGCCGAGTCGTCTTACTATGGGCTTGACTCGATAAGATTAATTGACTTCTAGTTGACTTCTCCGTCATTGGACCTCATCTTTCTCGTGAAATCCCCATATTCTTCTCTTTATTGCTCCATTGGTCCTCCAAAGTTTTCCAACTCTTGATCCAATATTCCTTATGTTGCTTTTGTACCTTCAAACTGAACTAAAACATACCGAGAAGGCATCAAAGAGTACAAAAAATAACCTAGGTCTATTAAAGGTTCATTGATCAAATAGTTGTGATTTAGAAAGGCAACACTATTGAAATGACTAAAGATGCCCTGAAAGAAGGGGGAAATGTATCAATGGGAGTGACAAACACTATAAATTAAGTGTCATCAGAACTACCCCACACATATACTTTGCTTGTCGCCAAGCAAACACTACTCATAACCATACAACTCAAGGAATTCTAAACACCATCACTCAATGTTGATCTTAGGTAGTTAATCGTAAGCAACTTACAAGTTCAACAATAGTACTATACAATCCTAACCACGTTAATATCCAAGAACATCATACGACATAATCCAAACATTAACCACAAACGATGCATCCAAGTCTCAAAATGATGAGGTGCAACTTTTGGTAATTTTTTAAGCTTTGAATGCTTTCTACCATCAACTTGACATTTCTTTAAGCACTTTGCCTTACTCAACTGAAAATCTTTCAATGATTTTTGAATTTTTCTTCTCTTACTCAACTCAAAATCTTTGCATTACATCCCATTACCTACCGCATCCTTCATAGTTACTACAATAGCCTCCCTAAATCATATTCCTTAACACTCCTTAACCGATTTGTAAGTGTATATTCTTGTTGAAAAAAAAACCATATTTTTATTGCACAAAGTACATATTTGTATAGAACAAAACGCACATTAGAAAACATTTCCGATTAGGTTCTATTTGTAGACTTTTACCCCTTTAATCCTGGGATGTTTGAGGTACTTTTACTCCGTGAGGTTCGGTCTTAGCCTAGGTTGTGGTTCTCTTTAGTGTGTTTCAGATCCTAGTAGGTAAAATCATCCATGGGACGAAAGTTGGACGAAAAGGGGCAGAAACCTGTCAAAAGGGAGCAACATCAACAGATCATGGTGGAGGCCAGAGGTTCACCGTCACTCGGCCGTGAAGACCAGCTCTAGACTGTGAACTCCCTTAATGAAACGACGCATTTTTTCTCGACATCACAGTTTAGGCCAGATATTCACGACCGCGAACTAGACCGTGAAATGCCATCGGTCAGGGTATATAAACGGGGTTGAGCTGAAAGAGAAAGAGAGGAACCTAGTGAGAGAGACTTTTTCTTCTTCTTCGGATTTATAGAGTGAAAAAGTGACTAACAAGAGGAGAAGAGAAGTTAGGGTTTCATCCAAGAGCTAGATTTTGGGAATTTCTTCCTCCAAGGTTGATCTCCATACCACAAGGAAGAAGAGAAACATATCCAAGATGGTTTTTTCTCTTCTCCCTTGTGTATTCTCTCTACTTAGCATGGAGTAGACTTTTCTTTCACTTGGGTGTTTGTAAACCCTAGCTACAATTGTGTGAATGTTTGTATGGATTGGATGACTTGTGTGTGGCTATGTTTAGTACAAGCTATGAGGTATTTTCATGAAGATTGTGTGTGTTCTTGCATTTCCAATTCTTATGCCATTTTGACCTAGGTAGAGGCAAATCCCCTTCTTGGTAAGAGGCTTTTAAAAGCTGGAATTCCTTGGGCAATTGTGTCACCTACCTAGATTGAATTAGGGCAAACCTCTGAATACGTATTAGCACCTTTGGTAGGTTGTAATTTGGCCGCCCAAACTATATTTTGAGGGTGAAGTCTAAGCAACCCTTAGTAGATTAGGCCAAGAGAGCTACCTTGTTAGCTTGATTTGATATCCCTTGGCCTAGAGACCGAGAGAGTGACGGTTGTTCACTTGTTGCACTTCCCAACGGTTTACAACCAACTTTACCATACATTTGCATTCAATCCGACAAATCATGATTGTTATCTAGGAGGAGCAACACCCTGGTTAAGCCTTCTCAATTACTGTTCAAACAATTTACTTTTCCAATTGTTTTAGTTACAAATTATAGTTTTAACCAAAAACAATTGCTAGATAATGTTTCAAACAATCGAAGTAGGGGTACATGGACCAGCCCGTGTTTGACTTTTAAAACATACTTGCCCTATATTGCACCAATTAAGGTTTATACTTGGGCCTTAATTGGGGGTTTTATTGTGATATTCGGGACGAGTCAAGTTTTTGGCACCGTTGCCGGGGGACCTTCGGTCCGTTATTTTGAAATGATTGTTTGGTGTTCATCTAGCGTTTACTTTTTGTTTTGGGAGTTTTAATCTTCCTTGTGTTAGACGAGTTGTGTTTCTTTGACGTGTGTGCAAGAGGGTGTATGACCCAGAGTAATACGACACCTTTGGTGCCACTAGTTCATGGTCACTCGACCGTAAAGACTAGCTCCAGACCATGAACTCCCTTAATGAAATGATGCGTTTTTAATCGACATCACGATCAAGGCCATATGTTCATGGCCGTGAACTGGAACCGTGAAACACCGTCGAGTGACCATGAACTGAGCTAAAAGAGAAAGAGAGTAACCTAGTTAGAGATACTTTTCTTCTTTAGATTTCTAGAGTGAGAAAGTGATGAACAAGTGGAGAAGAGAAGTTAGAATTTCATCCAAGAGCTAGGTTTTGAGAATTTCTTCCTCCAAGGTTGATCTATACACCACAAGGAAGAAGTCAAACATCTCCAAGATGGTTTTCTCTCTTCTCCCTTATGTATTCTCTCTACTTAGCATGGAGTAGACCTTTCTTTCACTTGGGTGTTTGATTCGGGCCTGAATGTACACTTTTTATCCACGTTTCCTTTTGGCATTTGTGGCATTTGAGCTCCAAAAAGGTTGGTTTTACGCTAGGTTTGTTGAGTTTCAATATGTTTCACAGTCTAACAGATGAAACCAACCCCGAAGTCGAAAGTTGGAAGGAAAGGCTCAAAGACCAGACAAAGAGAAGGATCCAGCCGCAGTTCACGGTCAGAGCTGCGAGTTCACGGTCGCCAGGACCGTGAACCGAAGGGCGTCTAGAGGAGTTTCAGGGGTAATTAGCATAATAGGTCACAAACCTATTCACTTTGTACGAAAAGGTCACAAATTTTTGTTTTGCATGTTTCAGTCACATACATTTGAGAGAATAACGAAATGGTCATTCCATCTGTCTCCATCCAAAAAATCGTTAGTTTCGTCCAGTCAGCATGCCACGTCATTTAAAATATTAATAAAAAATTTAATGATCGAACCAATTGAATCGGACAACCCTAACTCTTTACTTAGTTACTTACCTACCCGAAAAGCTACACCGACTCGACAATCTTCAACTCACCTGGACCCAACCAAAATCGGCGGCTTGCTTCGATTCTGAATTCCTTTGCCGTCTCTGCAGGGAAGCTTTTGGTATCGTTGACAAAGGGGTGTTTCAGTAGAATGCTACCTCTTTCACTTCTTCAAATCATATTGCAAACTCAACCATGAATTGCCAATTCCTCTACCTCCACTCCTCCACTATCGGCGCTCCACCAATCCCGCATCCACTACCATCATTCCGCCATCAAAGGTTGGTTAGAGCGTGCAAATTAAAAAATCAGTCAAAGCAACAAGAATCCACAAAAATTAATTATAATAACTTGGAAATGGATTCACTACTGCTGCCTCCCGCCATAGATTAGAGATCTGTGGGTCGCTCCGTCCCCAGAATCCTCCTCCCAAATCTACCAACCCCTCAATAAAGTTTCCCATTATGTTTCTCATTCTCTTTGGACCTTAGCAATACAGAGTCCTAATTTGCAGATTGATGTTTGCCTGTCAGAACACCGAGCGAGCAGGGGAAAGAGGGGTGTTTACTTCAGGATGGCGAAGCGACCAGGGAAGGAACCTCCGTTGGTTTTGGCCGGCCATGCGACCTGGAGAAGCTATCGGCAGCAGGAGATTTCTGATTGCACGATTCTGGGGAGGGATATCGCTCTGTAAGGCGACGATAGAAGGGAGAAGAGGCTAGGGTTTGCTCCAAGTGAAGATTTGGGGGTCGTTTGGATTAGAGATTTTAATGAGGGATTTCAGAAGGATTTTAGCACAATCCCTCGTTATGTAGGATTTTAAAACAATTCTGCGTTTGGAAATGATGAGATTTTAGAATTTAGAAATTTAAAAACCCTCAATCGTAGGTTTTTGAAATAACTGATCACTATAAGCTATTTCTAAATCTCTCGTTCTACTTTCGTTTATTCCAAAACCTACCCTTGTTCGACCCTTCTTCTCCGCCAACCTTCGCCCTCAAACCACTCTCTATTGTCGCAGACACAGAGCATCCCAGAGCAGCTTCCGGCTTTCCCCAACCATAGCCACAGTTGTCAACCTTCCCCCATCGTCCTTTGCCGTTGACTCCCCAGTCGACTCTGCCATCCTCCTTGGCGGCATATATGGAATCTGGATTCAATCTATTACGCTTAAACGTTTCCTCCCCGGTCACCTTCACCGCCGTACATGAACCCTAATAACAACAACCCATCGACAACTTCTCTATGGCGGAGAAGCTCTCCCTTGGTTCTGGGTTCACTGGTCGCGCCGGAGACACCTGCCACGCCGATTCCAATATGTTGTTCGCATATGCATGGTTAAGAATCGAGAAGAAGTTGGGAAATTGGCAGGTTCAGCTGGATTATTGGGGACGAGAAGGGGATCAGATGGGAGAGAGAAGAGGGAATCACCCAATTTGGGTTCCAATTGACTAGCAATTCTTTCCTTGTTCTGCAAACCCAATCGGTTGGAATTGGAAGGGAGTGAGATTTTGGGTTTGTGATTTTGGGGTTTTTATTTATCTTTGATTCTGGGGCTTTTATCTTCTTTCTTTAATCTGCACACAGTTATGAGATTTTGAGATTGTGATGGAAGCATAAAAGAAAAGCATCCTTTGTTGTGATTAGTTATTGTAGAAGTAGGGGAAGAACAGATGGTTGCTGCGAATAGTAGGTGTAGAAGAAGGAACCATTGCTCTAGTCTGTAATTTGTTTGATTGAGTGAATGAGGTAGAATATGAACAACGAACAAACGAAGAAGACAAAGGACTATATTGTAAATTGAGTTTTAAGGTTAAAATTCAGCGTTTCAATCCAAACGAGTTATTTTGATCAAATCCGACATACAAATTTCCAGGTATTTTAAACGAGAGATTTTAATGAAAATCCCTCGTTATCAAAATCTCTAATCCAAACGACCCCTTGGGAAATTCCCATTGAAGAGAGGGTCTCTAGAAGCACAAGGAGAGTTGGAGGCATCACAATGATGGTTTCTTTCTTTTTCCTTTGTGTTCTTCCTTTGTCTAGCATGAAGTAGTCTCCCTTTTCACTTGGTGTTGTAGAACTCTAACTTTTACCATGTAATTGATTGAGCAGATTAAATGATTATGTGTGAGTGATGTAGACACCACATTTTATCCGGGATAATCGTTCTAAAAAAACTCAATGTAATATTGCTTTACAATTATATTTGGTTACAATTATATTTGGAAAGTGAATTGGTTGAGACTAGCAGTAGCAAGTCAATATGAACCAATGATTATCAATTTTGTTCTATATTGATTCAAGGATCAATTCGAATACATATTATGATCAGGAATTGAGTACTTCAGGTTTGGATGTGAATATGAATTACAATATATAGAGCGCGGATCAGGAAAGATTAAAAATATACTTTGCTATTATATTTCTTAGATTGTACATTGCATAGAGAATTACATTGAAACTGCAAATCAACCTGCCCAACTCGGCCACTTTCGAACCAAGGTAATTACATTAAAATATCCTTGGCCCCTCAGTTTAGGCCCGGCCAATCAACCTGCAAAAGGGAGTAATTAGAAGCAGATCCAAATTGAAACTCAGTTCCGGCCCAACAAACATCCAGCCCAACTCGGCCCCTTTCGAACCAAGGTAATTTCCAGATCGGCCCACAAGTCCGCAAACCTGAGTCTTCCCAACCTTATACATCAGCCCACCCAGCACTAAATTGCGTGCAAACCTCATACTGACCAGGCAGAACCGACCAACTATGTGGAGGTCTCACAATTGGCTTCACAATTGACTAGTGAAGAAAAGACATTTTACTTTAAATGGCTCCGGAGCACTTCGTTGAGAGGGACAGAAAATCCTAAAACACTCTAATCCTTTTCATTACTACAAGCCGAGTCCAGGATTTGGATCGGAGCAACATCAAGTAGGCGTTATTGGGGCCAAAACCTTAATAAGGTTGGTGCTTTTATTTCTGTTTCAATGGTTCTTGGTAAAGTTCATGTCATTTAGCATAGTTTATACATCATTGTACCATTATAATCAATCCATCAGTTTAACTATTTATATTCATGCGATTTACTTTACAAAGACATTTATATTCGAGCACTCTATTTACTTAAAATAAAACCGGCTCATAGTAAGTCCATTGCGGAATTGAGCATCTATTTATTTTGATTATCAATTGATAGTCTATTTTAATTTTCTACCATGCTTTTATACCATCTTTGAGCATATAGTTGACAAACACTAGATCATCATACATAAACAAACTAAATCAAAATCCAGATCTAGGCAACAATAAACACAATAAAATTTCAAATTCACTAACACTTACCGGTTTACCAATCAAAAATCATAATCTCAATAAATCGCAAGCAATAGCAGTGATTTAGAGTCCGAAATTTAATATAATCAAGGAGTACCGGTGATTTATTCCATGGTCTAGCAAAATCACTAACGATAGCAATGATTCCAATCACCAAAATACCAATTTACAGCATGTTAATTAAACTTAAACTACAGAAAAACAAGTTTTTTTTAGCAACTTCTAGCATATCTGGAATTAGATCCGAACCATAGACCAAATCCACCAAACACCAAAATTCCAGAACACATACACAACCATTCTTTAGCATTTAGGTTCGCAAATCATTAAGTATATAGCCATGTAATCCAGTTTTTCTTTATTTAAAAATTTCTCAAGAGTCTTAGTAGACCTCACCTAGACCACTTTGCTCCTGAAACCTACAATAAGGCAAGATCGATTAGTCAGAGTCCTTCAAAGATAAAAACACGAAAAAACTCAGAAAACGAACTTACCCAACTAGCCTATGTGCCTCTGGCCGCAAGCTTTCAGTCACCGCCGGCGAAAAATAGCCTCGTTGTCGTTGACTCCCCGTCGCCGCGCGATAGATCCGTAGCCAAAAATAGTAAAAAACGAAATCAAAACACAAAAAATAACAATATCATAACTCAATTTTTTAAACCAAACTAAAAAACCCACATGCAATCCGAGATCTAACCTAGATCGAAACCCTACCTAGTCTGGTTGAGTATTCTATTCTCCATTGCCGCCGGCGGGGACCGGATTCAACGGCGTGTTTTTTTATTCTCCCTTCGCATAACCAAATCAAAACCCAGATTAGAATCCTAAGTAACACAGATGAAAAACCTTAAAATCGACATGCAAGCCGGGATCTTACCTGGTCCGCCGCATTTTTGGTCAATCGGGGAGTTCGAATCGCCTTCGTGTTCGGCGATCGAACAAAGGAAGAGGGAAGGACGAGATGACTCCGTTCTGGAACGCGGGCGTTCTCCTTGGCCAACATAGCGAAGAGAAAAGTCTCTTGTTGGTTGGAGACTAGGAGAAGAAGAAGAGGTTGGCGGCGGCATAGAAAGAGGATTAGAGTTCTTGGTTTCTGGGAAAGAGAAGAAGAAACAAGAATAAGGCGGGGAGAAAAAGAGAGGCAGCGGTAGAGAGGTAAGAGGGGAGAAGACGGCGATTGAAGGCTAGGGTTTTGGTTTGGAGGAGAGGCGAGAGAGGTTGAGAAGGCAGAGAGAGGATCGCGGCGGCGGTGTTAGATGATGGCTAGGGTTTCGTTCTTCTGGAGAAGACGAGCGAGAGAGAGATGAGAGAAGTGAGGGTCGAGAGGAGTGAGGCAGCCGGTTTTGCTTTAGGGTTAGAATGATTATGGTTCTTTGAGATGAATATCTACCTCCTCTTTTAAAATGACGAAATTACCCTTAGGGTTTCTACCTGCTTTAGGATTTCTAATTATTTACGTGGCTTTGTCACCGCGTTTAGTGGATTTACGAAACTACCATTCCCCCTTCTATGAAATAAAACGAGGAATCTACAAAATGGTGGCTATAGGGTTTCAAACCCATGTCCTCGCGATTGAACGAGAGTTTACGACTGCCGTTTTAGCTAATTGGGCTGCCAGCCCATCATGCGTAAATGTAATCATCCGATTCACTTTTTATTTTTTTTAAAATCCTTAATACGAAATGTAGAATTGCGGATTAAGTTTATCTCATTTCTTTTCTAATTCACTAAATCTCCTTTTAATAATTCAAATCCTTATATTATCTTTTTATAATTTCATAATATCAACTTAAAACAATAAATTTTGATACGAGAACCACGATCAGCGGAACTTGGTAATAATTTTATTTAAAATTATCAAAGTCTAACCGAACTACGTGGACTGTGATCTCGTATTACGGGTATGTAGCAACCGATGAGGTTCGAGTCCAACCAATCAACTAACTTTATCTTTAAATTTTTACGTCAGTGGGCGCATAATTAAATTACAACTAATACGATTTAAATTAGTGATCTGGTAAGTCCCTAAAAATACCTAAAATACCTAATAATAAACTAATACGATAAAATCATTAAATGGTCCAAAGGGACCCTAAAATTACAAAAATATTACTAAAAATACACCCAATTCGTATGAAACTTATCGACTTAAGTAGTACCGATTTAGGGCGTTGTGGGGTGTGATTTCACTTTCCCACACGTAACCGTACTCGCGAACCCATATCTCTTAATCGCAGACCAAGGCCCGGTTCCGACCCTAAGGTTAGAGCCGACCAAAGAGTGTTCGATCCACTCCAAGTAAGATCGATAGCGACTCCCAAAATGCCAACGCGACCCCGACGACCCTCGGAGGGACAGTTGGCGACTCCGCTGGGGACTTCGAGAGTCGAGCTACATAATTAAGTTCGATAAGTTTTCTATTTTCCTATTATGTGTTGGGTGTTTACTTTCTTATTTGCGCAATTGTATTTTCTCAATTTAATTCTGCATTCATGCATAAAAGCTCTATACCCGAGCTATCCTATTAGAAACAGAAAAGGAGTACCGTGACTTTCACAGTAGTGGAAAGCATACAAAACTTTCCAACCAAGTTGAACTCAAATCCGAGGTTGATTTGAGGTATCCGGCAAGCTCGAGAGGGCTATAGCGGGGTACAACTTGGGAGCCAATTCCTAGGATTTCCTACCAGCATATAGTAAGTATAGAGACCTCCCTAAAACATCCAAAACAATCCCGAAAACACCCTAAAATCATGTCCTTATGCCGCCCGAATACCCTAGGTGTACCTAAATAGGGTAATGTTCTTTCTATCATATAAATATATGTTTGTTGTAGATGTGATAAGTTGTGTTATGTGCATTGCTCTTAATTAGCGTGATTGTTTGGATAAAAGTTCTTTTCAAATTCCACAATCCTTATATTTTCCTTAAATCTTTCATTTATTAATCCAGAATTGATCATACAAATGTTTTCCAAAGCATATGGATCACAAAAAACCATTTTTGCATTCACATACATTATTGACATTTTGCATAAGCATCATGCATACATACAAAAAATGAAAACAATTTAACAATGTTAAGATGTAATTAGATTTCCTAAAATTGCTCTTCCACGGGGAAAAGGTCTAATCCTTAAGTATTCGACAAGATCCAAGGCCAAACTCGTCATGGAGGCATTTCAGAAAGATTTAGATGACATCTAGAGAAGAGTGATTGGGATTGAAGAAATGAAAGAGGATGTTAGCATGATTTTGAGAATTTTGTCAAAAATCGAGAAGACAATGGAAGTGAAAAGTGGATATAC